CATCTGGTGCTTAAGGGGCAGTAGGGGAATGAATAAAGCTAAGACAGGATACTAGGGGTCTCTACAATGCTACAATTAGGACGATTATAGGTGTCCGCTCTCCAAAGCTCGCATAATTAGGCACCAGTAAGTGTCGTGAGGTATGTGCGTATTGGGTAGACTTCTTGAGGATGCATTTCAGGCGGTGAGGCATTCTGGATAAAGGTTCAGGTTTTGGGTTTAACGTAGGGCTCTAGAGTTAATTATGGTTCACAGCAGGAGTTCAAATCCTGTTCAAACCTCAAGACTGGAAAGGCTGACCTTGAAGCCCACAGCCTTCCCCCTGACCCTGGCTCGAACCAAAATTCCGGAACTGAGGGTCAAGGGGTTGGGGTTTATGACTGTAAAACTGAACCCTAAACCACCACCATGGAATGCCAAAAAAGGCACCAACGCGGCCCACGGAGGGTCCTTGCGAAACCCGCGCCCCATGAATTTTCAATGAGAAAGTGACTTCAGGGCTTGGGGATTGATGAGCTATACGAGGCCCTAGGAGTCCTCATAAATGCTGAGAGCCTTAAACTCTATACCCGAAAGTCCCAATCTCGAATTGAGAACTACTCTCACTGCCTCAGGTCGCACCCATTAGCAGCCGCTTCGAAGCCAAAGGAAGGTCGTTTGGATGGCAGTGGACAGCTCCTCGACTCAATGATGGGAGAGGCTACCAGTGGGTTACATGGGCTGAGGGTATTGGGGTTTTATGGCTGTAGGGCTAGGGTTGAAGGTCTAGGTATCACAGATTTGGGATGGAGGCTTTGGGGTTACCAGGAGGGTTACCAGGAGTTTGGGTTGAGAAAAGAGGCATTGTCGAAGCTACTTTCAACGGAATCCGCCCCCGTTGGTTGGGTGGCCCTTGGGTGGGGTGTTCAATATTGTGCGGAAGGGATTCCCTAGGTTAAGGGTTTATGGTCTAGGGTTTTGGGGATTTGTCAGAAAATTGACCGAAAAGATGGCTGTGGCTCTGACATGGTGGGTTACGTACGGACTATGGGGGGCGGCTGCTGGACTTTTGAGGGATCCGTGGTAAAGCTCTGCATGGATTGTGACCGTTAGTCTAGCCCCTGAAGCCCATGACCTGAAGTCATCCTGAAATACATAGGACAGGATTGTAATAGGTAAGTTCAGGATGAGCATGGCCTTTGGCCAAGGTTCTGCAACCTTGTCGTCCGGCCGACCACGTACATCGAGTTCGACTTTGGGACCGACATGCTGTGGCTTGGCGTCCACGCTTGGTACGAAAGGTTACGAGAGTGTGAGTATGGAGGATTGTCATAGGGAGGAATATTTCTAAGGCCACGCGTCGGACATTGCTAGCATGGATTGAGGGTTTAGGATGATACATCTTGGATTTTGGCTGCAGCTTCCGAACTCCCTCCGGGGAGTTTGACTAGGGCAAAGCAATGCTTTATGCGATTCCAGAAGTGTAGAGTGTGTAGCTCACAGGATTTTCTGGAATGAGGTCTGTTAGGAGTGACTCGAGCCCTGATAATTGGAATCGATGTTTTCTCTGAGTGTGCGGCGCTGATCTAGAGGTTCTTGCTTAGGAGCTCTGAATAAATCTACGCTCACGTAATGTTGCAGAGGCGACAAACCACATCGGTGCAGGGCTCCAAAAGAAGGGTTCAAAGCGTATCGCTCCTACCAGTTCTGACTGGCTGCTCGAGAAATCGTTTCGACTTGTTCAACGCATGTTTCTAATTCTTGGCTTCAGCTTTGCCAAGCAGAAGGGTATCTAAGCTAAAGGTTTATGGGTTAGCGGTTAGATAGAAGGACTGCCCACCCTCAAACAGCATGTGTAAGAGGATCCTAAGTGTTCGCTGTTTCTGGGTGGAAGGACCGCATAAGGTTTGGAGGTAAGGGTTTCTGAGCAATCCCTGTATTATAGGGGTGTATATCGCTACTTCTGATCAAACCTACCTTTTGCTTGGGAAGGGTCGAGAAAGTGGACCCCTATAGTATAGTCCGCTATGCCGCTATACTGAGCGTCTAGGATTCCCCCGATCCTCTAAGCACCACAGGGCACGTGCCAGCCCTCCCGGTAAAAAAAGTGAACGAACTCAAGAGCCAGCATCTGCTGCGCTGTCACAAGAACCTAATTTCCCAAGTTTTTGCTTGCTCAAATTGTGTGCTGTGCAAAAGCAGGACAGGACCCAAACAGACAGCCTACCCTAAACCCTAACCTGGAGACAGAGCCCTCGTCTTTTGTATGCGAAAGGGCTTGGAGGTGATTTGACAGGCGTGAGGTTGCGAGCTTTGCATTTGGGATTCAGGATAGGTCCCAAAGTCAAAGTTCTATTCCGTTCATTTGGTGGTAAAAGAGCCCATCTTGAAACAATTCTTCTGCCCAGGCATACAGACTCGCCAGGTTCAGACTTTCAGGGTGAGTGTGGTTAGAAGGTCCCAAAGCCTTTGCCAGACAGCCTGCACCGCCTACACCCTACACACGCCTGTCGCGATTGATCTCTAAACCTATGCCCTTACCCCCTCCAGAGAGCCCAATACCGCTCAATCAAGGAGTAGACATGAAATGGTTCGAGGACCTAATATGATTTAAGCCATATTCCTCAATGGAAGCCCAGGATTGAGAGGATCCAGACCCTTGGGCGGGCGACAATCTTTCAGTGGGCCACTTGCCAGCTGCGGGTGCCAGGTGTAGGTTTGCTTCAGAGGGTTTGGGTAGTAATCGTTTCCCGCTATTATTAGAACCTACTCCCCCACCCCCCTAATCTTGAATATTCCACTTCTGGTTAATTCTAATTCTGATATCTTGGGAAGATGTAATACTAGGGGCCGGGGGGGGGGGGTTGGGATTAAGTGGCAAGTTTCAATAGGGGTTGAAGGGTTTGCATTTGGCAGCAATTTGTGATGGACCCTGAGTTCCCTTGGCTAAGTCCTAAACCCCAAACCTAGAAGATATCAGATGTGGAATTTATGGGATTTTCTCAGGTATATATTGCATTCCCACACGGCTCTTAGCAAACTTACGTGGGCTTAAGGGCATAAGATTTGATGGGGCTGGCTACGAGGTCCCGACAAGAGGGAGAACTAAACTTCAAACCCAGACTAAGCCTGAACCCTAAATCCTTAAATCCTTTCACCCTGGACCCAAGATGCTAGATCCTAAGCCCTCAACTCTCAACCCGAAAATGCAACACCTCAGGCCCACAGCCCTGAAGCCCACTTGGAGGGTCAGAGGGATCTAGAAAGTAAGTTAATAATGGGGTGCCTCTTCTCTCGGAGTGAATGCATACTGGTTCTGGCTCTGGAACCATCTCCCCGTCCTCAGCTCCCACACCGCAGCAGGCCTAAACCACGCAACCCTAAACCCAGTCCTACAGATCCAAAATCCTTCGAATGCTGATGCTTCGCTGCACCTAGGTCAGCAAGTTCACTCTGAGCTACACCCGGCGTCTCGGTTGTCCTTGTACTTAAGATTGAGGGTACAGAATGTGGAAATGAATAAGGGGGTTCGGTGTCTTAGGAGATGTGACGTGAGATTTGGATTCGGACGTCAATTTCAAATCTCCAGAGAAGGATTGTAGCTCAGGGTTCCTGCAGTTTGCAGCGCATAGCAGAAATTGTGCTCCTCTAGCATAATATTCGAAAAAAGAAGGACGAAGCCAAGAAACCTATGCGGCTTTGGCTCGCAGTTTTTCCCTCTATATGGCTTGCCCCGACGTGAAGCAAAAAACTAACAATGAACCTCATGCAGCCCCCTGTCGAAAAACAGTGATCTTTACGGGGCTCTTTCGGGCTTCACATTGTGTTGGGGGAGGACAGACGGATTGTAGCTTTCCAGGGTGTAGGGTGTAAGGTTTAGGGTTTGTGTATTGTGTAGGATATCCAGGACGGGCCCGAAGTATTGAATCCTGTTCAGGAATGTGATCTGTTCCTGAAATTGCTGGAGTTGTTGCTGTGTAAGCAGTGCTGAAATGAAGCCACGTAGACCCAAAACCCTTCTGCTTTCTATTGCGCCTTCCCTTCGAGCGCATCTCTATCAATTCCGCAAGGCGTGGCTCACCTTGCGAAAGGGCTGCCGCGATCTTCTTTTACGTAGTGGGAAGAGCAACAGTTGAACTGGCGGAGAGCCAAATGCCCCATCAATAAGTTCGGTTGCAATGTGATAATCCAAAATTTCGGTGGTAAGGCGCAATGATATTGAAAACCCAATCCGGCTTATTGGTTCGACCCTTACTCCTATGCCTAAGCCCTAAACCTTCCGCCAGCATTTGATGCCAGAGTTTGGTCAGAGCCCTGGACCCCAAGCGCTCATGCAGTGGAACGAAAGGAGCGCTGCAAAGTCCCAAATCCATACCTACATGAAGTTAATCTGTACGTGGGAAACAGATTCAGGTGCCTCCTTCGACCCTAGGTCCCAAAACCCTCATTAAGCGTCTCGCTCAATTAAATCAAATGCGAAAAATGGCAGAAGCACTTCGAGACGCTCTCCAAGAAATTGAAACGGACCTTATGATATTATCGGTCAGTACAAAGGGGCTGCGATAAGGAAATTTTATAGGATAGGGGATAGTACTTTATCAATGGAGAATCAAATGCAAAAGAACATGGAAACTAACTATTACTTAGGGTTTAGGGCTTCTGGATATTGGAGAATCAAATCGAAAATCAAATAAGCTATTAATTATGGGGTTATACCAGGGGTTCCATAGGGATTTTCGAGGAATTGTGGAAGGATTATATGGGGACAGTATGGGGATAATGGAAAAGAAAATGGTAACTACTGTTAAGGGTTAGAGTGACCTCGACCCGAACCCCTAAACTCTAAACTCTGAACCCTAAACTCTCCAACCCTAAACTTAGAACCCTATACTCTAAACCCTAAACCCCCCTAACCCAACGCCTTCGAGCCATAGCTGCTGCCGGGCGCGCAGTGCTCTCGACCTGCGCGGGGCGGCCAGTTCGTCATCTCCGAGGGGACGATTCTCCGTCAGGGCACTGAGATCGGCGGATCGACGACTCCCTTGCGACCGCCGATTGGACGATCAGGGACAAGTTCATGGCGAGTGGCAAAGGTCGCACTGCCCTGCCGGGGCAAGCTATGGATCTTGATGTCGTCTCCGATGGCGAGGGTGTTCCGGACGATGAGGTCACCCACGTGCCTGCTGCCGCAAAGCGCAAAGGAGAGGCTGGCGCCTCCCCTACTAAACGGGCGGCCTCCGACTGCGGCGAGGGCATCACAGTGGCTATGTTGAAATCGCTGTTCGCAGAGCAGACAGCGGACCTGAAGGCCAGTTACAGAGGTGAAATGAAGGATGCAATCAGGGCGTGTGAAGACAGGCTTGTCAAGACGGTGGAAAATGCAAAGGAGGACTTGACCTCTCGCATCACCCGAGGACAGCAGGACATTTCCAAGCTGCAAGCCAGCCATGAGGCACTGGAGGCCCGTCTCGCGAAGATGGAGCAGCACAAGCCGAGCGGGGGCTCCGGACTGTCGGAAGAAAGAGGGCCTGCCGTCGTGTTTGGAGGGTGGCGAACGGACACCAAAAAGACCCTGATCCTGTCCGATCTGAACGCGGTGCTCAAGGATGTCCAGATGGACCAGCAACTGGACAGTGCCCCCTGGGTTCCTGCAGTGCGCCACAGTATCTCCATCCTGGAATTCAGGCAGAGGCAGAGTGAGAATCTGGACGGAGTGAGGCGCCGGATGCTGGCGGTGATTGCGGCAGTGAATGGAGCCAGGGTCCAGTCGGAGAACACGCAAGAGGGAAAGTTCATCTGGGCCACAATTAGTCGCCCGAGAAGCGAGAGAGGCCCTGGCTACCACTGCGGCAAGGTCAGGAAGCTGCTCTACCAGCTGGACATCGGGGTTGCAGAAGCTGAGTGCGCGTATAGCACGGGCAGTCTCTGGCTGAAGGACAGACTGGTGGCCTCGGTTGAGAAAGTTGCCAACAACATGGGGGTTAAGAAGGGAAAACTGGACCACTCCTGGATTGACACGGCGTTGATCGCAGAGCTCTCGGGCAGGAAGCAGGTGGACATTGACGAGGCATGGGATGGGATTGCGCAGAGCTGAGACGAGTACGAGGGCAAGCTGAGTTCTAATTTGCCGAGTGGGTGCGCGCCTCTTCGCTTCATGGGACAACACCAGGGAGAACGAGGAGGGCAGGGTGCTGAGAGGCAAGTGCATGTTTTTGAACCAAGAGTCTCCGGGGGTGCTCACTCCAAGGGTCGGCATTCCCGTCGTGTACCTCAAAAGACTGTGGCTCCCGAGACGGGGGCTGACACCGAAGCTACAATGTGCAGACAAGAGGCCAAGGGGGTCTCTGTCACAAGTTTCCAACCAAGTGAGTCTTCCATGCAAAGGCTGCCCCAACGGGTCGAGTCCAATATGATCTCAGGCCCCAAGTTCTTCGGACCCCAACATGAGAATGATGACGCGGCTAGCGACCTCGATGGAGCTGCTGACCCTGCGGAGACAGGGGACGCCAAGAAGAGCCATGAGTGCTCTCCGCAGAAATGCTGCAAGGAGACCGCGGAAAAGGTGAGCCTCACAGTGGCGTCCTGGAACCTTGCAGGGGTCAGCAAGAAAGCAATCGAGACGGTGTTCGGTCATGTTGCGGAATGTGATGCAGCTGCTGTCCAAGAGTTCCCAAAGCAAACGGTGGGTTGGAAAACCATCAGCGGAGAGCGCTACCAGGGGATTATCTTTCAGAACTACTTGATGTACCGCAGTGTGGGGGTGATGTACCGCACCGACCGGTTTCAGCTTCGCAAAAAGTCGAGCGCGCAAAGAGGGGTGTGGGTGCTCCTTAAACATGTTGGAACCGGTGAGCTACTGTGGATCGGTTCCCTCCACCTCCCCAACAACGAGCCCAAGGAGGAAATTGCGCGGCAACTGGGGGAATTTGCCAAGGCGGGGCCAAAATTAGGGGAAAGAGCGGTCATCCTGGGGGATTTCAATGTCCAGTTCAAATGGAGAAGCGGCGGGACGGGCATTGAACCGGATATCCTCGCACCTAAGTGGGCAGCGCTCAGACAGTGCTTTGCTGAGGCAGGGTTCCAACAAGCACCTCCCCAGGAAGCGCAGTTCAGCGCGCCAACGTTCCACTCCAGGAAAGGAACTGTCAGCAGTACGCAGATCGATGGGGTCTTCGTCGCAGGGGCGGAACAGAGATGGAGGGAAGCAGACATGAGCTGGGCACGGACCATGACAGGGTGGAATTCACCATGACGCTCCAGGGTAACAGTTCAGGGCGGGAACACCGGAAGAATGCTGGGGGGGCTCGAATGGTGACAGCAGTGATCCCACCACAACATGACCTTGACCAGGCCAAGCTTCAGCAACTTGCGCGGAAGTACACCAAGCGATCTCGCTGGGAGGTAAGTTCAGAGCCAGTGATGCGGCCAACACTCTCAGGGATATGGCTAAGGCAGGGAGGGATGCGGCAGCGTGGAAAGAGTACAGAGCGGCGCTCCGCAAGGAAAAGGAGCAATGGAGAGGGAAGAGGATTGTGGAGGCCAGCAGCAACTGGGGGGTGTACAAAAGCCTCACCAAACCAAGGAAGCAATGGGGAGAACAGTACATGGCAGCAGCTACTAGTGCCGACCCCGTACAGGATGTCAAGAACCACTTCGAGAGCGTTTTCCACCGGGGGGGCCAAGACACCGATATGGAGAAGCTGGAGGGGTTGCTGAAGGGTCTGGGATGTGACGGGCAGTGGGTTGCGTTCACAGAACAGGAAACCAGGGAGGCCATCATGAAGGTAAGAGGGGTAAAGCGGTCGGCCCCGACAGAGTACCTACAGAAATCCTGCAGTCTCTGTGTGATGACCCCTCCATGAAAGCCGTGACCGCCTTCTTCAACAGAATTGCTGAGACAGGACTTCTTCCTGAGGAGTGGGACAAGTCTATTGCTACACTGTTGCTGAAGGTTGTGCCCCCGGCCTGCCCCAAGGACTTGCGGCCAATAGCCTTGGCCTCTCACACTAGTAAGGCCTTCGCGAGGCTAGTACTAGGGAGGTTTCAGGCGGTGCTGGATGTAAAGGGCTACAAGCAGTTCGCTGTCGGAGGCCGTCAACCAGCCGAATTCGTCTGGTCGGTCATGCACATACTACAAAGGAATGGAAAGGTGATTGCTATATCCTCAAACTCGACATTCGGAAAGCCTTTGACACGGTCAACCGCTATAGACTCGCACAGAAGGTCGTTGAGTGGGCGGAAGGTACATGTGCGTTCGAGGTCCGGTGTCATCCATCATGAAGATCAGGGTGCGGTGTTGCAGGGCCTACCTGCCGACGGGGGTTGTTTCATGGACGATGTGCTTACCTGGAAGTCCTCCCTCAAGTCCATGCAGGCCTTCGTGGATGTTCTAGTTCCCCGGCTAGCCTTCTATGGCCTCCAGGTACAACCCGCCAAATGCTCCCTGCTGTGCATCAATGGCGATAGAAAAGCCCCCCTCATGGTCGACGGAAAACGCCTGCTCCCCATGGAGAAGAATGAGGTCCTCTATGTCATGAATTTGCCCCTAAAACAGGAAGCCACGGAAGCAACTATAATGGAGCACCTCATCGACAGGGCGCGGAAGAAATTCTTTGGGATTGTCCACATTCTCTCTTCGAAGGCCCCCCTGCGAGCTCGGATGAAACTCCTCAATACCGTTGTCTTTGGTGTGCTGAGGTGGGTCGTGGGTGCCTTGTTCCCAACGCCGCAGTTGCAATCCATGCTTAACTTTTTCCAAGTGAACTGTGTTAGGCGGATGATGAGACTTGCGAGAGGGAAGGAAGAATGGTGGATTGACTATGAGGCGAGGACTTTGAGGTTGGCTAGGGCAATGGTGCATAAGATGGATGGCAAAAGATGGGGCGATGTGCGCACAGAGGCCTATTGGGACTTCCTGGGGCACCGGACAAGGAATGGGGCAAGGGAAAACCCGTCCCCAGCAGGGCTACTTTCACATTTCCGAGGAATCCAGTGGTGGCAGGAGCAGCAAAACATAAGCTCAGGAGCGCGCCACCGCCGTCACTATCCACACCTCATGAATTGTGAGCGAAGGGTAGCCAAAACGGTAGGGTCCATGGCTTGGCGCGACATGACGCTTGACAGGCATGCGTGGCAGACTTTAAGGAGCAAGTGGAGTGCAGATGTGCAGATTGCGTGGGCTTCGGGTAGACAAGCGGCACTTCAGGCATGTGAGTGAAGAGGGGTCTGTGACGGTTGCGCATGAACCTGGCTCAGTGGTGATAGCAACCGTACTGCATTCCCACACTTTTGACTCCGGCCATGGCTCGCGAGCTCTACATGATGTTTTTCACCATGATCTACATGTATGGTACCTTTGGCGCCTTCCAAGAAGAACGCCAAGGGTATGTTCAAGCTCCTTCAGAGCGTGATCCACAATTTGTGAATCTTGCAGCAACAACCCCGCCGAATGCGGCAGCACGTGCAGAGGAAGACCAGCTGAATAGCACCCACACACCGCAGGGCAACGTGAGATTTGAGAGCAAGGCAACCACCGGACTGATGCAGGTGCAGGTACCCGGAGCACGGCCTGATCCTCGGCCTGAACAAGAAGAGCCCGTCAGCCTGATGCAGAGACGAAAGCGGGGAAGGTCGCCGACTCCGAGAAGGTGACGCAGGCACAGATGGACGGAAGAACAAAGACGAGCGGATAACCGAGCGAAGTGGACTAAGCCGAGGGGTAGAAGCGCGCCATCCAGGGCGCCGGAGGTAGTGGCAACAAGCTCGACAAGATCATTCCCCAGAGCACCGTGGCGGAAGGAGGCCTGTAACAGGAACAGCGCTGCCGAGGTGATCCAAGACGAAGAAGAGGATGAAGCTAGAGAACCGGCTTCGAGCTCCAGGCCGGGGCCTACAGTGCCGAGCTTGAGCGAGTTCGACCCCAACGTGAGATGGTGGAGCAATCTCACAGGCTTCACCGATCCTTTTGACGACGGGGAAGTGCACAGCCTGCTGAGCCCTGAGACCAGCAGAACGCTGGTCGCAAACTTACAAGGGCTCGACACTGAGGAAAGGGCAAGGGTCGCCACTTCCCTCTTGGCCTTCGTCGGCTTGTTCATAGCGGAGCTTTTAAAAACAGTGAACGACGCTCAGTTCGGAGAAAGAGTTGAGCTCCTTCAGCGGTGGACCATCGTCACCATGCACGACGAGCACAGCCTGGTGCAGCATGGACAAGTGGTGGCGCCTAGCTCGTTTGCCAAGAAACTGCTGGACCTTCAGGCCACCCTTGAGAGGCAGGACAAAGCAGGGGCTCCAGCAACAGCTCGACGTAATGGGGTCGGGGACCATGCCCTTTCATCGGCGAGAGGGAGGAGGGCGTGGAGAACCACACGACAATGGCCGCGAGTTCTGCAGCTGGAGCCCTCCACAGTGAAGATGAACGGGAGGGCATCCTGGTCAAAAGACGACCCGATGAGGACTGGAAGCCGGCCACGAAGGAAGAGGCGGAAGAGCTGCGAAGACATGACCTGCAACTGCAGGAAGAGGAAGCTGCACAGGCCAGAGCAGACGCTGCTGCGCTCAGCTCTCTCGAGGCAGCAAGAGCACGGGAGTGGGAGGACTGGGCGATGGAGAGCGAGCTGAGGGGTGTCCCGGATGAAGCAGGTCCTCGGAAGAGAGTCAGGGCAGTGGTCACCATGACGACCAGCCGAGGCGCAGCAGTGGCTCGTGGTGTGGTGGAAGGGGACGTCTTAAGGATAGAGGAGGTCATGCTCACGTTTGCACTGCAAGAAAGTTCGGAGGCACCAGGGCACCGAGAAGGGACAGCAGACGAGCTACTGGTCGCTCCGACTACACCGTCAACTGTGCTCATCCCGGAGACGCAAATGGAACAACAAGTACAGCAGATGCAAGAGGTGAGAGCACAAGGTGTGGACCTGGACTCCTTCATGTGCTCTAAGGAGGGCGGTGCGGCATACCAACAATGGGTTGCTAGCGGAAAGGGGCTCCAGCTCGGAGCCTGGCATGGAGGGACTGGGACCTGAAGAGCGCCGGTGCAAGAGGGTTAGGGAGGGAGGCATTGCCAGCACCACGGCGGGGTATATTGCCCCCATGGATGACGACAACCTGGAAGGGGCAGAGGGTGATGAGGCTGACCCAGGGCAAGGCCGATGGGACCGTCCTGCAAAAAGTGGAGGGCGACCGCTTTGCTCCGGCAACTTGGAGTGTACGGGGAAGAATGGTGCACCAGCCAGTGCAAAGGGACATGCAGAACCAGGAAGAAGGGGAGCATACCTCCTTCATGCAGACGAGCGTGGGCCCTAGCTTCGCGGCCACTCTACACGACCTGCTGGCCGATCTGGAGAGCATGCCCAAGCTAAAAGCAGCCAGAATGGCCAACTTCCTCAGGGAGATGCTCAGGGATCAACAACGAATGTCGCCGCACCTCAGGAATCCGGTGCTGATGGCAAGAGCAGAAAGCCTACAAGCCCTGGTGTCGGTGTTCCTTGACGAGGAGGCCCAGTTGCAGGGGGGAAGAGCAAGACTGGGCAGTGGCAAATCGTGGTGCCGTTCTTGGAGGGCCGAGTGGGTGAGGCAGGGCAGGAAAATGCACCCCGCCCGCCAATGCCAAGCGCAGCTGTGTCCGAAGAGATTGAGGTGATCGACAGTCAAGACCATGTCATGGAGGAGGGTAGCAAACAGCAGGAGGTACGGCAGCCAGATGGGTCAAGACGGGCGCTGACTGCTGAGGAAAATGCCACCATTGCAGAGAACGAGGAGATCGAAAACTTTGCTGCGGACCTCATGAGATTGGAGGAAGAAAAACTCCAAGAAAACTTCACCAGTGTTGAGCTGCGTGAATGGGAGGACTGGGCTAAAGGCGCGTCCCAGCAAAGCAGTAGGGCCAAGCGTGCCAGGGTGCAGGTACTGGTACAAGGAGAAGGTGGCAGGATCGTGAAAAAGGAGAACTGGCTAGTGGCAGTCAACGACGGAGAGTACCTGGCGTATAGCATCAGTGTCAACCGCTATGAGACTGAACAGGAGGATGCTGGTGACCCGACTGCGACCTCTTCTGGAGACGTGAGAGCGGCTGATGTGGTCCAAGAAGAAGAGGACCAGGAAGCTGCAACTGAGAGGGAAGCTGAGAACGACACGGACGAAGGACTCCTGCCAGTCACAGGTGAAAGCGCCCCTACGATGTGGAGTCAGCCGAACTTGTCGAGGGTGAGGGACTTCTCGGTTGATGACTTCATGCAGACGCCCCTCGCGGAGAAGTTCTACAGAGCATGGCGAAGCCGGGAGGTCACTGACAGCTTGATTGGAAGAAGGTTTGGCTATGGTGTCTTGGGGCGTTTCTACAGCAAAAAGGACTGGGACAATGGTGTGTTCCAGGACTGCGAGACTGCAGAGGGCGAGGGCCAGATGATCGATGGTCAAGGAGGTGAAGAAATGGCCGTGGAAGTGGGTGGCGAGGCTGGAATGGATCCTAGTGCTGGCCTGACACGAGAACCCGGCAGTGAAGGAGAGTCCGCTGGGCATGATCAGGATGCCGCGCCGAATGACCCTACTGGGCACGAGGACAACGAGCACGTAGAGGGTAATGAAGATGGCACAGTGGCGCTGGGCGATGGCCACGGCGCGGGCTCCAGTACAGGGTCGACCTTGCCTAGCTCTACTGCTGAGAATGCTGAGAGGGTGAGACTTAGCTCAGGCCGTAGACAGCTCACTCTTGCGCATTGGCTTCTATAGGCTGGTGACTGGTCTTGTGTTGCTGTGCTGAAGCGCTGTGTAAGTCAGCCGCTGTAGAGGGGTGAAATGCAAGGGACTGTGTCGTAAGACATCTTCGAGGACCTCTGGGCTTCGGAGAAAAGGTCCGCCAAAAAAAAAAAAACCTAAACTCTAAACCCTAAGCTTAAAACCCTACGGCCTGTACTTTAAAGCCTCAACCCTAAACTCTAAACCCCAGACTCTACGCTAAACCCTAAACCTTCCCCAGGAATGGCTACACCTGGATCGACCTACCCCAGGTCTACGAGGCAGGGTTGGAGCATCTGGTTTGCTTTGAGGATGCTTCACAGTGTTGGGTGGATTCAACTGATGAGGAGGCTTAGGGTTTGGGGTTTAGGGTGAGTTTTGTTGTGTTTTGAGGTTGGGACCTAAGCCGTTCTCCTTCTTCAGCAGAGAGTTCTACACCTGCGCACAGCAGAGCTCTACTTCACACCTTGCAGGTCCCACTTGCAATTGTAACGCGCATGCATGATGGAACCCATAGATAGCGATGAGCTCTGTAACCCTAAACTCAAGCCTGAGCCCTGAACTGGCCCTGAACCTAGACCCCAATCCCAAAGCTTCTCCCTCCTCACTAGCGGGCAGGCGAATACGGACAGGAGCCTCGGCTGGCCAGAAGGTATGGAGGGTGATTCCCTAAAGGAAGACAGGGATAGGACAAGCAAATGGAAGCTACGATTTAGGGCTTACAAGAGTTTAGGGCAGCTTAGGGATTATCACTTCAATGATGGAGAATCACATGCAGAAGAACATGTAACATGACATGCAAATTCTTGAGGTCTGCAGGCGCCAGGCTGGGTTTCAAGTCAGACTTGCGGATTTAGGGTTCGCCTTTGCTGTCTTCTGGCCTTTGCTCGCCCGGTTGAAGAAGTACGTTAGAGAAGTTCACGAGTACTTGGTTCGTCGGTACAGACATCTGGAGAATGTGGCTGTGTATATTATCAATTAGCAACACGGAGCTTTACACTGGAGGATGACTACTGAAGCTGGTTGCTTGGCTCTCTGCCTGCGTTGTGCCTGCACAAAATGTTGACCCAGCAACGGGGCCAACGGGGCCAGCTCCACCAAGGCCCCTCAGGCCCAGCTAGCTAGCTTGGCCAAACACCAGGTTTTCGTTGCCCGACCTGAGACACAGACCTGACCCTAAACGTGCAAAACCTGGGCTTCAAACTTCAACCGAAGAATTCCGGACTGGAGCCTCTAAGGACTACGTTGGTGGACAACATCGTCCTTCCGTTCTCGTTCCTGGCGACGAAGCTCAGGACAGGGAGCGCCAAGAGTAAGCGATGATGGATTCGAACAATGAAGTATGCTGCAACCCCAATTACCTGTATGGGTTTTGCCTATTAGCGCTGTATCTACTTGGGTTACAGGTGGGGTGTTGGGCTCAAGGTGCAAGATGTCGGGTTCGGGGTGTCTACAAGTTCAGTTCATGGGAAGTAAACGCTTAGCTGTTGCAGGGCTAGACGAAGCAGCTATGAATTTGCTGAGCTGTGCAGACGTAAGGCTGTGTGGGCACATGGTCGCGAGCTATTTAGCAAGCATGATCACTGCACTTATGACTATACGTTATCCTTAAGGCTGGTCTGGCCGCAGGCGGTGTTTTGGACTCCCCTAAACTCCAGGTCTCCATCCTCCAAGCCGTTTAGTCTAGAACTTTAGACCTCTGGCCTCAAGCCTTCAACAGACAGAAAACTCCTAAGTTTCTTGAACTGCGAGTTCTAAGCCCAGCGCCCTTTCAACCTGGATCGCCCCTCCACTCAACCCTCTGGACCCTTCAGCCATATACTCCCAAGCCATGCGCAGAGCGGCAGGCTGAATCAGATCGAGTACTTCTCGTTCCCTTGCATGCGGGCGGGGGGCCTACAGTGGGAAGGGTTGGCCGTGGGCTGTCTGGTTGCAGGACTTGTTCGCGTTGGAATTTGATGGTCTTTGGACTTGGGGATTCAGGATGGGGGGGTTTGGGGACCTCGGGGCTGGATTTTTGGGTTTAAGGTTGCTCTTTACGCAACGTTCTTTGCCCGGCCTTGTCCTCCAGAATTCACATCCCACAAAGCCTAATACGGAGCGGATGCTCTAAGCCATGAACCGCAAGCCCTAGACCTCAAAATTTGAACGTCAATTCGGTTCCATTCTTCAGGGGAGAGTAGTGGCTCACTTGGGCAAGCTGGGGCAACTAAGCTGGAAGGAGCCAGGGGTTCAGGGTGTTGGGTTCACGTCACAATACCCGGGCCTTCAGGTGTAGGGTTGAGGGTTTAAGGTTTAGAGTTTCGGAGTTCGGGGTTCGAGGTCTAGCTTTAGGCGTTTGGGATGGTGTGGCTCAGGGTGTGATCACAGGTAAGAATAGGTGCCTGTCACTTCTCTTATTGCTTTTGCTCTTATGACAATTGATCTGCATCTTCGTCGCAACAATACACGTCGTTCTTGGGTGGCAGTACCTGCAACACTTATCCCATAAACAACCCATGACCTAAAGCCTAGCCCTAAGCCCTGGACCCTCTACTGTTGACCCTGCACTCCAAACTCAGCCCTGCTCAGGTGGACATCCTGGGCTGCACGTTTCGAGACACCATCGGCATTGATGAGATCACTATCCCGCGTCCGGGCTGAGGAATTTGGGCTTCGGTGGTTAGAGTCACAGGGTTTCAGGAGAGCGGGCTTTGGGGTTTCAGAGGGCTTTAAGGGTTCAGGGGGTTCAATGGTTCGGTGTGTAGTGTGGGGTTTACAGGTTGGGGGTTGGAGTGGCTTATAAGCACCTAAACTGGCTCCAGCCAAAGAAGAGCTACAATGAAGCATTTGGATTATCTTGAGAAATTCCCATGTAGAAAGATTTGCCATTCCTGCCTTCAAAGAGAAAGGAAATCAAAATGAATGGAGTTCACAACTCAAGAGGACCAACATGCTAAAATAATCCTGGGAAAGGGATGCAAGAGCCTAAGTCCCCACTATTAGGGGCCATGTACCCCCCAATTCAGGGCACTGCATTGAAGGGTGCAACGTAAGACATTCCCCTTTTTCAAAAAGCAATGAAAGAGATGTTCCCAGACCATTAAATATTCCCAGATTCCATTCCGTTTCCCATGCTTTTTTCCACCTATTTCCATTATTCCTTTATATCCCTAGGACATCTGCATCCCTAAACCTTAAATCCGAAACCCTAAGCCCTAAATCCTAAACCCAAGGTTGGAGACCGACTTCCAGCCCTATGACCACATCCTCTTCTTCATGGCCTCCTACCTGCAGGCTGCTCTTGTCA